ACTGTTTGCCAGTTTCTGAGCATGGGGATATGATTGCTTTTGAGTGAAAAGGGAGCTGGGCCATCATTAGATTTCATGCTCCATAGCTATTTCTGACTGCTTTCAGCTCGGCTTTGCTCTCATGTACAAAACTGCACTCATCCCTGCTGCCAAGTAGTTCAGAGCCACGAACGTGGCAGGGGAGGTATCTTTTGGGTAATTCAGGTCTTGAGGAAAAGTGTCATTAAGTCAAATTTAGTTGTGAGTGCAGAGTAAGAGCAGAGGCAGGGGGGGTTAATCTTACCAAGGCAAATGTGCAGGTGGGTATGTGTATGGCAGGATTTACAGAAGTGACAAAACAATTCAAAAGGGTTTTAAATTCAATGGGAATCTGCATTATTCAGTGCCTAATGTGCCTGTAAGCCTGGTTCTGATTGTCGCTTTCTTTTCTATTTCCTATTACCATAGGCTGAGCACAAAAGACGCCATTACTGGTTTTACTAGCAATTAGAAAGCCCTGTTTGAGGTCCCCAGTCTGGGAGAGATGCATGTTGGGAGTAGAGTTCTGGCAACATTGAAATCAGAGGGAAAGTTGCATTTGTCTTTAACAAGACTAATCATTTAGTCAAAAAAAAAAAAACCAAAAAAACCCAAACAAACAAAAAAACCACAAAAAGAAAAAAACCCCACACTACCAACAACCCCAAAACAAACAAATAAGCACTCACGTTTTCCAAGCCTTTCAGTGGTCATATAATTATAATTTGGAGAGATCTTTCTTCACTTCTTTACTGAAGTCCTAAACGTATATTTACTCCAAAAAGATTAATGTGATCAGACTTATGGACAGGTTTATTGTGAGCTGGAGTGCTAGAGACCTACTTCTGATTTCACAGGCTTCATTTCTAGGACTATGTCCACCATGCATGTACCTGATATCCGGCTTCCTGAATTCTCCTGAGTTCTTCTTGATTCTAAAAGAGAAGAGCTGGATAAGCAAAACAAAAAAAATAAATAATAATAAAAAAAAAAAAACCAGGCAGTATAAATACAGTTCTGATGCAATGACCAAACACAAAGCAGTTTAGCAGCTGTCTCTGTCTAAGGAGCCCCTTAGGACTCACTGCTATTACTCAGGCTAGAGTTGCTGACGATCAGATGTTCTCCTGTCCACCTTGGCTCACAGGGACTCACAGATCTACCTCTCACTGTGCATTGGTAGTTTGCCTGCAAAAGACACCTCAAAAGTAAATAGCCATGAAACAGAGCACAGTCAGAAGGAACATGGCTGTGTTAGCTCTGGCGTTACCATTTCCAGCCACCGGTACTGGCCCAAGTTCACAGGTACAAAAGAAAAGCAGGACTTGCAGATTAGAGCATTAGAGCAGGGGCAAAACTCCTGCCCTAGTTCTTGCTGTTCTTATTCTTTCCCCTTTATCTCCTGTTTGTTAAAGAAACAGGAAAAATAGCAGAGACTGCTCCACTGCAGAACCCTTGCTTTAAAGACTTGATGTGGCAAAGCTGCTAAATGAAAAACTAGTTTAGTATTCAACCCAGTTCTTGGGATTTGCCTGGTGACTGTCCATCCCCAGTTTGTTAAAGACTTCTCCTAGTCCTGTCTCAGCCTTCAGCTTGCACAGAACTCTGCTTAATGAATGCACATTCACATGGCACAGCCTCACTGGCACCTCAGATCTGAACAAAGAACAAGCCTTTCAGACCATGGAAGTGCAATTCCAACCTTTCCCCCTTCTACCAGCACAGTGTTTGCCCCAGCCAACAAAAGCATGGCAGAAACCAGCTTACCGGTAGTAACGTGCCTTTGGGAAGTACAGCAAAAGGGAACAGCCCCAAGGCACAGCACAGTCAAAAGGAGCACGGAGAGAAAATCCATGTTGCTAACATGGTTGGGTTAATTAATTTAAAAAGTGGCATAAAATACTTGGATACTGAGCCAATCTCTTTCTTACCCTCTTGTAATCTGTTTCTACTGACCTTGTAAAGAGTGTTAGATACACATTTGGGCTAAGTTGTGGCAAATGTGAAACAAGGTGAGCTCTGAGGCTCAGTTAATATTCTACCATGACTTTGGCACATACTGATCTCCTGTGTGGAAAGCATACCCTGCAAAATCCCACACAACACTGACTACTGCACACACAGACTTTTCCAAGCCACAGTCTGATGGGGCCTGGTCTAGTTGTGGTCCATCTGGAGCCTTATAAGCTTACAGAGTTTAAAAGCCTTGCCAGTTTTGGCAGATGAGCCTGTTATTTCCTTAAACAAGATCTCTTTGGCATCTGGAGTTTACAAGGTCTCTCAGGACAGCTCTTAGAAATCCCATCAATGGGCTTCTAGTGGCCTGGAAGGTTCAAGTTTAGGTCAAAGGCAAGCGATTTGCTGTCACCTAATTTTGTAATATCAGGTTCCCAAGGAGAAGAAATTTCTGTTTTCTGAGACAACCCTTCAAAATGGTCTCATTGAAGACATCTTATTGATAAAATAATCTCATGGGCCCCTGTTCAGTGTTCACAGGAGTCAGCTAGAACATTCCCAATGATGTCACCCAGCTTTGGAATTAATCTTTCTGGGAAAACTAATGAATAAAGGCTTGTTAAAGGATAAGTTTGTTAACAAGCTTCTTAAGAATAATTAATGAAATGAAAGGCATGATTAAAAACATGGTTTTCATCTACAAATGCTTTGAGCCTTTAGTATTTTTTGAACAATGGGAATTTAATAACCCAACCCAAATACCCTAAAAAAAAGCCTTCTGTGTAAAGACATTTCAAACACACGAATTCTCCCACATTATGTTTCATTGTCTCATTATTTACCATCTGCCTGCTTGCTCATATCCACTTACTCTCTGCAGAAAGGGTAGTATATGGTCTGAGGGTTTTTTGGTTTTTTTTTGGTTTGGGGTTAAAACCTTCCTCACACAACCAGAACAACTGGATGGTACTGAAATAGAAATAAACATAGATAAGCAGTGTGGGTAGGAAAGAAAGTCATAAGGGAAAGCAAACCACAGAAGTAACTTCAAATCTTTTAAATGCAAACCAGAGACCCGTATAAGTAATAACCATAACCGAGGGGAACTTTAATTAGGCTAATCTGTATGACAAACAGAGCAAAGCAATTTTTTATTTAAGCAGGCTCAAATGATACAGTTAACATCTGAGGAAGTCTATTAATAAAAACTTCATATATGAAGCATTAACTCTGACAGCTATAAAATGAGAGTCTGAAAAAGCCAGGTAGCAGTATCCTGAACCAAATATGGTATAAAACACACTTTTCCATTTTGCTGTCTACTTAGGACAGGTTCAGGCTGCACAAGGAAGAGGACAGAATGCAGGTATGTCTTAAATTAACAATAACTAGTAGATTTGTATTGCTAGAATACTAGAAAATGTTGTGTTTAAGTTTCATGTGCTAACCAATGTAATATTTTCAAAGCATTCAGGGGCACTTCCACCTCTGCAAGTAACAGGAACATTGTACGACACAATACAGGTAAAGGCATTACAATCTTCCTCTATTTCCTCCCTGTAGATAGTTCCACAACTCACATTTACTGAGTTAGGCAGTAATGCACTGTTTTTCCCTCCTAACCACATTCATAGCAGGATGAAGTGAGAGCTTATATTACACTGGTCATAGTGTGACACTAGCGTAACCTTTAGGGAAAAAAGTAAAGAGAATTAATAAAACTTAGAATTGTTCTCAAAATAGT